GCCGGGGGAACGACGGCGATCAGGTAAGTAGCTCTGACCGTTAGGACGGTTCAGGACCGTCATCGGTCGGCAACGCAAAAATGCCGATGACGGTCCTGAACCGTCCTCGGTCCTTAAAGGGTTAAGATTATAGGTACAATACATTAGCATAATCTACAATTGTGTTCTGTGAAAAAGTTAGCAGAAATGTAAAAAAATTTTTGTATGACTTCTAGTCTCTCATATTGTTGTGAAGGTATTTTTGCTCATCCTGCTTTACAATATTGCTTTAGTTCATTGAGGTTTGCTGGCATTTGTTTATGCACAGCTCTCTGAAGGTCCAGTCACAGCATTTCATTTGGGTTGAGGTTTGAACTTTGTCTGGGCCATGGCAACAACTTGATTCTTTTCTTTTTCAGCCATTCTGTTGTATATTTTCTGGTGTGCCTGGGATCATTGTCCTGTTGCATGACCCAATTTTGGTCAAGCTTTAGCTGTCGGACAGATGGCCTTACATTTAACACTAGAACACTTTGGTGTACAGAGGAGTTCATGGTCGACTCGATGACTGCAAGGTTCCCAGGTTTTTTGGCTGCAAAATATGGCAGATATGCTGTGTTTATTTTTTTACCTAACATGGAGCTGTGCACTATGGCCAAACATCTCTACTTTGGTCTTGTCTGTCCAAAGTACCTTGTTCCAGAAGTCTTGTGATTTGTTCAGATTCAACTATGTAACTTTGCCATGTTCTTTTTAGAGAGAATAGGCTTTCTCCTGGCAACCCTTCCAAACAAACCATACTTATCCAGTCTTTTTTGAATTGTTCTGTCATGAACTTTAACATTTAACATGCTAACTGAGGCCAATACAGTCTGAGATATAACTCTTGGGTTTTTTGCAATTTATCTGAGCATTGCACAGTCTGACCTTGGGATGAATTTGCTGGAAGATTCTCCTTGGAAGATTGGCAACTGTCTTGAATATTTTCCACTTTTGAATAATCTTTCTCACTGAAGAATGGTGGACTTTTAATTGTTTGGAAATGACCTTATAGAAACATAGAATGTGACGGCAGATAAGAACCATTCGGCCCATCTAGTCTGCCCAATTTTCAAAATACTGTCATTAGTCCCTCTAGCATGTAAGCTCATCGAGCAGGGCCCTCAACCCCCTCTGTTCCTGTACGTCAGTGGTCTGATCTCAGTTATGTGTCTGTTAGTCCACCCATTGTACAGCGCTATGGAATTTGTTGGCGCTATATAAATAATAAAATAATAATAATAATTAGTCCCTGGCCTTATCTTATAGTTAGGATAGCCTTATGCCTATCCCACGCATGCTTAAACTCCTTTACTGTGTTAACCTCTACCACTTCAGCTGGAAGGCTATTCCATGCATACACTACCCTCTCAGTAAAGTAATACTTCCTGATATTATTTTTAAACCTTTGTCCCTCTAATTTAAGACTATGTCCTCTTGTGGTAGTTTTTCTTCTTTAAAATATAGTCTCCTCCTTTACTGGTTTGATGGGTAGCAACAATTGTTCTCTAAGATCTTAGCTGATGTCTTTCCTCGTTGGCATTGTGTTAACACACACCTCAATGCTCAAGCCAAGCAAACTGCTAACCTTTGGCTTTTATAGAGGAGGTCACACTTGCTGATGATCTATTAGTCAAGGGAATTTTATAAGCAGCATCTGTCTTCTACTCTTAATTCTTATGGAAGCAGTGTACTTAGTTTTTCACATATGGCTTCTCCATTCGGACTTTATTTTTGTTAAATAAGTCAAGACACGGTGTAATATATCATGAGTTGTTGTTCATCTGAGGTTGTATTTACACAACTATAAGACCAGCTAAGGAAGAGATGCTTGCTATTATGTCTTGACATGTAAAATCATAGAATTCCAACAGGGTGCACTTTCTTTTTCTCATGGTTGTTAATGGACAATTTTAATTTATTTGATGGAATACAGTATTTAAGTCCTCAATGTGGGACCTGGCGCTGTTGATGTATTGGATGTCTTGTGGGAGAAGAACATACTTGTCTGCAATCTCACAAAGTATGACCATTTCTTTTTTTTATCATTTAGAATTATTTACACTAAGAACCATAAAGAATACAGAGATTATTGCCCACAGAGGTTGTCTTATCGTACTCTGTAGATTACCTTAAAAATAAAAATGTGTGTGTGTGTTTATTGGAAAAATAGAATATTCAAGGATAAAATTAATATGCATTAATACAGGAGACATAACACTGCCATTATGCAGTCAAGAGGTTGAACGTGATGGGCCTTTTTCAACCAAGATTACTATGTAATGTGGCAAAACAAAAAAATCTGTATCTAGGCAAATTGGATGTACAGGAACAGTAGATGATAAGGGGCTGGCTCAAACAAGGTTACATTCAAAGAAAAGAGTAAAATTATACCAAAAGTATGGGTAAAATGTATTTCACACATAGTAAAAAAGTTGTTTGCTAGGTGATTTTCAATAAAACGAGATCTAAATTGATAAATTACACAGCTGAAGGAGAAGAATGCCATTGTAAGAATTTACAGAGGAGGAGGTGTGGATAGTGAGACAAAGACGCGGAAGATCAGCCTGACTGCAGCATTTATTATTAACTGGAATGGAGTAAGCTGAGCCGATTACGATCGATGAGAAGCAAATTACAGTAGTTGACATGAGAGATGTATGTGGCTTAAATGAGCACCTTAGCTGTTAGGGGAATGTGCAAGCTATTTTTAAGAAAGAAGTAACATGATTTGATGACTGACTTGGTGTGAGGAGTGATGGAGAGGTTTATATTAAAGAGAATGCAAAGGAAGCGAGCCCGGGGTGAGAATTGATAGTAGTTCCATTGACATGAAGGGAGACAGACACGGGGACTGTAACATTTGAAGTAGGAAAGGGACGAAGTTCTCTTTTACAGAGATTAAGTTTAAACAAGTGAGCTGCCATCAAGTTAGAAATGGCAGAAAAGCACATGTAGACATGATTCAAGAGGGACAGAAAAAGAAGACGGTAGATCTGCATGTCATCAGCATAAAAGTGACACTGGAAACCAATTAGTTTACCAAGAGAATGAGTATAGAGAAGTATAGATTGAGAACAGAACTTTAAAGAATAACAACAAAGTAGGCTTGCGGAGAAAAGAAAGCACCATATATGGAGAAAATAAAAGCGCTATATGAGTTGATGAATTAGATCTAGATATGATGATGTTGGCTCTCTCACAACTAACGTTTGGTCTGGTGGGACTCTGGGACAATTGCTCAACTAGCACAACTAGATTCCTTTCTGTAACAGAAATTTAGAGTAAAACATTGGAAGTCGAGTGTAAATAGCAGGGCTGACCATTTGGCTTAGGTAGTATGGGAGTTTTTTTAACCAGACACAGTACATCTTGATTTGAATAATAGCCATATTAGTTGTTTACACATATCACAATGATGCTTAGTACAATCACATTGCAGGTTTATGGATCAAATGGAGATTGATTTTATGTAGATATTATTGGGTACAGACACATATACTTCATTCTACTCCTGTACTATTCAATGGCTGCTGTTAATTAGTTGAACTCTCTTCTTCCTCAGCACAATTTAAACAAGATTTCTTTCTGAGGAATGCAACATTTTTATCTATGAGAGTTACCAGGGCCAAGTAATTATTCAATTTTTAATTGAGAATTATTTAATTTAAACAGGACTATTAAACTGCTCATTTATTATTTTGTTATTTTTAATTTTTTTTATTTAGCGCCAGCAAATTCCGTAGCGCTGTACAATGGGATTTACACTAAATATCAAAACTGGCACTCCAAGTAACATAGCTACTACAACTTTGTGTGGAATTTGTATTGTAGACAAGTTTCCTGGAGGGAAAACAGAGGTGTGGCAAAGAGTGTTTGATCAGTCTACAATAATTAATTGAGGCAATCTACATAAACTGCTCCCTTGTGGTGTGGTATTCGCTGATGAGCCAGTCTGTATTCCCAGTTTCTTGTACTCTGACTCACAGAGTGTTTGTATTCGTATGTGAACTCTGTTTTTGAACAATGTATCAGTATGTTTGAATGTATCATTGTATTTATAAAGAGTGTCAGTGTCTGTGTCAATGCAGGTGTGCATGTTCTTCCAAAGTGTCTGGATGTGTGTAAAAGCAAAGGTATAATTATACATTGTAGGGGAGTGTTAGTGTGCCAATGCAGGTATACAGGGTTCAGAATTTGTATCTCACGTGTGAAAAGTTATGAGCCACCTCAAATATTTATGCACAGCATTATTTTTAAATCATATCCAGAGTGTGTGTATGCAGGGGAGCATATTTTTGTGTGTGTAAAAGCAAGGTCATATTTGTATGTAGTTTGTGTGTGAACACAAGTTCATATGTATGAAGGGCCGGTGTACTTGAATACAGGGGCATGTGTGTGCAGATGGTTAATGTGCTTGAATGTAGGGGAAATGTGTTAATATGTGTTCAGGGTATCCTTGAATGCAGGGATATAGGTGTGCAGAGGGTCAGTGTGTGTGAGTGTGTGTATGTATGTATGTCGGGTTTGCATGCCAGGAAGTGGCTCTGTCTGTGTGAATGATGTGGTGTGTTTGTACTTCTCATTAACCGCAGTCCATTCCAAACTCCAATAGCTAGTAGCCCATGCTCCCCCTCTACTCTTTCTAGGTAATAACTTATTCTCTGCCACCTGCACCTAGTAGCCCATTCTAATTACCCCAAAGTTAATAGCCTATTCTCCTTCTCTCCCCTGCATAGCCAGTAGCCTATTTTCTTCCTCTCCTATCTAGTAGCACATTCTTCTCTTATCCTCTCATAGTTACTAGCCAATTCTTCTCATATCTGCGCATGGCTGGTAGCTCATTCTCCCACCATTAATAGTACCCAGTTCACCTCCATAAATAGTACTCAATTCTCATCTTTTCCACCACAGATAGTAAAAAAAAAAAAGGGTCTAGCGGCTCACTATCATGGATTCCCAAAAACAATAGGTGATAAACCCAAAATTAAAATGAATCACTGCTTTCAAAGTACCCTTAACATATGTTAAGGGTACTTTAAAAGCAGTGATTCATTTTAATTTTGGGTTTATCACCTATTGTTTTTTGGTATTGCTTTTTTATACAAGGTTTTTTTATTATATATGTATATGTACGTTTATGCCTATAACTTGAGTAAACAGTAGTATATGTTTAATAAGGAATCCTCAAACAGAAAGAAAACAAATAATAGTGCAATATGCCACATTCATTTTATATTTTAAATGAGTGTTCAAGAGAACTAACTCACACTTAACAGCACTTTTGGCAGCATGGGAGGAAGTAACTGCCGTGAGTCACTTCCTCCCAGAGAGAGCCGTGCGGGAGAGACCGCACCAGGGAAGCATAGAGGAGGGCAATCCCCAACAGCCTCAGCCACGGCTCTGGACACCAGGGAAGCAATCCTTCAATGTAGGAAATGGGGAGTAGATTTAAATGTGTGAATGTGTCAGTATGTCTGTATGTCTGTCATTGTATGTCAGTGTGTCTTAGTATGCCTGACAGTGTATGTGTGTGTCAGTAGGTTATCTGTCAGTATATGTGTGTCAGTATATGTGTGTCAGTGTGTGTCGGTATGCCTGTCAATGGGTATTGTCAGTATGTCTGTCAGTGTATGTCTTTGTGTGTGTGTGTCTGTGTATCAGTATGCCTGTCAGTGTATGCGTGTGTCTGTCAGTGTGTGTCTGTGTGCCAGTATGTATGTGAAAGGTGTGATTGCATGCCAGGGGATGGGGGATGCCAAGGGGGCCCAAGAAAATGCTTTGCCCTGGGTCCTAGTGATAATAAAGATGGCCCTGCTGCTATAATCTGCTTGGGAGCCTTACATTTGTGCTTATGAGGGTAGCTCCACACAGCTTGCACTGCACTTTAATTTATGTTGTCACTTCTAAAAGAATTAAATGCATCGGAGCCTCTGCCGGCTTCCTTCCAGCCATGCCTCTCTAGAGATCATCATACTGAGACTTTGGGAAGGTCCCTCTAGCTGTCCCTTAGTGTTATGACCTCTGGAAATGCCCAGATGTGGAGAGACCCTAGCATGTGCAAGCCTTAGGCAGTGTCCTATCTGGACTTACACTGGATACATCTGGCTGTGCAACTGCACATGGGCACATTTGCAAAGTTACAGATTGTACAGAATGTATAGATAGAAATCTGTAGTAGGATATGAAAGCTTTTTGTCCATGTTTGTGGATCAGTGCAGCTCTTCCTGTTTTCCATATTTTGGATACCCCACCAGACAACAGAGAAATTATGATTAAAGGGTTACTTAAAGCATAACAACCACGTTAGCAATGGCTTGCGCCCTTACCTGGTTCCCTGCTGGGCCACAAGGCTTCCCAGTGATCTGGAGACATGATTCCAGCTTCAGCCAATGACTGACATTTTGTGAACAGAATTGATATTAGCCACCCCAGAACACCCATATGTTCGAGGTGGAGTTGCAGCTCCAGCTTAGAGGGATTAAAATCAGTATGTGCAGAGTTTCACAGAGAATTGCTGCACAAACAGATTCCAGGCACCATGACCACTTCAAATCACTATAAGGAAGACAATTACTGGTGTTCTGAGTTTTCTGCCCTCACTATGGGATTCCAAAATATATTATGCTAGCAGGGAATGCCCTGTTTATTTAACTTTGGCAGCTTCATTCAGTCCCACTGTATTCCTTTTTGAACACATAGTTTTGAAAGAACAAATTTGTATAATAAAATATTGTTGTTGGTATTAAGGGGTTAAGAATTGTAGCAATCATGCATATGCATCTGTGGCCACAGTATTCCAAATTTCATCTCAATCTGTTTACATGTACAAAGTGTGATTTTAATGTAATTCCTTGTCTCCAATTCGGAGTACAATAAAGGACTAATAAGATGAGTTGGGAATGGATGTTTGCAGCATGAACGTATAATTTAAAAGTATGTGTAATGCATCAGCATGGACCAGAAACCCTTCAATTCATACAATGATGAATTCACTCTGTTCTGTATGCAAAAAGAGTCATGCATTTTGTACATTATAGGTGAACTTAAAGTGGCTATAGATGTGTGTGTATGTAGAAAAACAACAGCCTTAATGTCAGAGGTAACTGTGCATACAATATAGTTTACAATATTTCCATGTATCATGAAAATGAATCTTTAATCAGTACTAAGCCAGTGGATTCGTCCATCACATTTGTTTATTCCGTTTACATATTAGCACATTATAATATTGTCTGAGTTAAAGGATGTAATTTGCTGGAAGAGTAGTGGACAGGGAGGTCATAATTCATCACAGCAAAGAGTAATACTGGGACTATTGCAGCCAGTTATTATTTAACCTTATAACCTTTACAGATTACACCAATCAAGTTGTCAGGAAACATTCCACTGAGTAAATTGCTTTTTGTACGTAGGTTTGGGCTTCAGTTGATGTATGACGGACACATATCAAAGGCACTTGATGCATCTTCATGTCCGGAGAAAAATGTAGAATAGTATATTTTATTTGTATGGGTCTATGTCAATAAAACAAAAAACAACAAAAAACAAACAAACAAAAAAAGCAGATGTGATACCAAGCATCATAAAAACTAATACTTCTTAATTAGGTAATGGGGCAATGAGCTACCATTTCCCTGTCTTCTGCATATAATTAATTATATCTTCAGTAGTTTTTTCAACTGTAATCCCACTCCCCCTCTTTGTAATTTCTCAAACAGAAGCAATGCTTCCCCATGCATGTGCAAGTCTTTGTACAATATATGATGATATCCAAGTCCCTAGAAACATGCACTGGCTCTCTCATAGCATTTTATATGACAACTGCATGGTCGAGAATAGTTCCATCTATTTCAATAGATTTTGTTTATTTTACAATAGTAGCTTTAGGGGGCGGGGCCGGGCCGTTGGGCCTAACAGACGCATTATGCATGGGCTCCAGCATTAACCTGAGAAAAAAGGCACAAGAAGTCGGCTATCCCGACAACAACTAACAGGGAACAACCCCAGCGCACCTTGGAGGCCGGCAAGAAGCACATCACAAACCGGACGGGCAATGGAGGGCGAGCCCGGCCTACACGCGGCAGAGCACCCGACCGAGGCAACAACACGCGGTGGGACGCCACAGAGAGGCGCAGCCACGAAACATTTAAGCGGGAGAGACGCTGCACAGATGGTTCCTTTTGCACCCCCGGCCTGGGGGTTATCCCGGCCGCATGGCGGTGACCCATGCCACGGTGGGAGTTCCCGCGTGGGGTGCGCTCTGGCCGCCTCCACTGGCAAAAGCTGCATGTGAAGCAGCAAGCCAGCAGGGAGAGGAGAGCTCGAGTGCGGAGGCACACAGACCCCGAATAAACGGAGGCTGCTCACTGCCGGAAAAACGGCCCTCCGTCAGCCTTGGCGAGACAGATCAGGAGCTGATATGAGAAAGATCACCTGCATTTTTATGGAACTGCTCCAACACAGCTCCACACACCCAGACCACGGTAAAATTTAATAGGGGGGACTGGCATGGACGGCTCATGCAGGCCCAAGCAATACTGAGCGCTGGGCGGGGCCTGCACACCGCCCACACGCCGACCGGAGCAGTGAGTACCCCAGTTTCTGGGTATGGGGGTCCCCGGAGAACCATGTCCCTGCTGCCGTGAGCCCTGTGGGGCGGGAGTGCGCTGCCCTGCCGGCGGACCGGTGGCCGGGAGGGCTGGATACCAGCTTTAAGCGTGAGGCCGGCACTGGGAGAGACACGGGAGTGCTTGCTCCATAGGAAACAACGAGGTGCTGGGGAGGTGCAGGGGGCGGGAGAGTCGCGGACTTTGTGGTGGGGTCCAGTGGACAATCTCACGGCACCGCGGAGGACCTGGGCGGGGGGCGATGTGGGGTGAACGGACGGAGGCTCAGTGACCTGAGGACTGCACCGTAGCTGAGACATGTTGGGCCTCCCTCAGACTGCCATACAGCCTCCTCTCCAGTTCCTACCAACCTTGCTTCCATATTGTTACGGTCCTTATTATTGATTTTGTTTGTCTATATACTTCATTACATATATTGCATGATCAGCTACAGTTTATTTCAGATTGAAGCATTATAGGATGTTACTACCTCCATTTTGTTTCTCATATACAGAGCTATTGCTTCTTGTTGACTATCCTTGGGCAAGCATGTTAATTCCCCAACTTGGGCAGAAACAGTAAACGCAGCCCAATAAATGGTGATATATGCATATAATAAATTCTTCTTACCCTCAAATTAAATTCAGCTGACACAATTATAGCAAACATTACAGGTGATATTCGAAAAATTTGAATATTGTGCAAAATTTCAGTAATGCAACGTAAAAGGGGAAACTAATATATGAGATAGACGCATTACATGCAAAGCAAGATAGTTCAAGCCGTGATTTGTCATAAGTGCAATGATTATGGCTTACAGCTCATGAAAACCCCAAATCCACAATCTCAGTAAATTAGAATATTGCATGCAATCAATAAAACAAAGAGTGTGCATAGAACAATATCGGACCTCTGAAAAGTATAAGCATGCATATGGACTCAGTACTTGGGTTGGGCCCCTTTTGCAGCACTTACTGCCTCAATGCGGCGTGGCATGAAAGCTATCAGCTTGTGGCACTGCTGAGGTGTCATGGAAGACCAGGATGCTTCAGTAGCGGCCTTCAGCTCTTCTGCATTGTTCGGTCTCATGTCTCTCATCTTTCTCTTGTCAATGCCCCATAGATTCTCTATGGGGTTCAGGTCAGGCGAGTTTGCTGGCCTGACAAGCACAGTAATACCACGGTCATTGAACCAGGCTTTGGTGCTTTTGGCAGTGTGGGCAGGTGCCAAGTCCTGCTGGAAAAAGAAGTCCGAGCTGGGGGCCCTAAATGAGAATAAGGGGGAGGGGACCTATTGCCTGTGGCTGCTCACTGTAAAAAAAAAAAAAACAACACGTCCCCCCTCCCCCTCCTAACCTGAAGGGGGGACCTATTGCCCCTGAACGGCGGGTGGGGGCCCTAAATTAAAATAAGGGGGGGACCTATTGTCCTCCCCCCAGGCCCCCACCC